CCCCAAAACCCCAAAACCCCAAAACCCCAAAACCCCAAATTTATCTGAGAAAATTGAATTATATAGTTAATATACATCAAATTCATTATGCTAACCAGAAGCACAACTATTGTGAGGATGGTAGACCTATCAAAGAAAAGAAAGCGTGCAAGCATGGTAGTCTCAAAGGAAGACATTTCTCAGAGAGCAATCACACGGAACATTGATCGGATAAGGTACTTAAGGATACAAATTTACCCTGGAACGACAAATTTTATGTCATATTAAAATTCTTTCTTCTATAGAAATCTCAAGAAATATCATAGAAGAAAAAGGTCAGAGAACCAGATTATGTTGAGACAGGCTATTGAAAATAACTTAGGTCAAAAAGCTCCTCGCAAGCTAGTCTCTTCATATACCAAACTAGCCCCTCTCAAGCTTTCAGGTCGAAACAAGAAGCCTTTTTCAACACCAAACGAACCCGAGAGCTCTTTCACAAAAATAAAGTACCACACTGCTGCAAACACTCCTCTTCGCCAACGTCCTCACCACCTAAAAGCAAGCCCAATGCTACCTAACGTTCGTGATCTCCTACTACCTCCATCCCTCACCCACAAAAACAGTAAGTATCAAAACCCTCCAATCTAACCCTCAGTCACTGGCTCACCAGGATATGCCCAAGCAATTCATTAATTCCCTCTCCCAGCTAAGATTACTTAATTTAGACCAGAAACGATCCTAGAGCTATCATTTTCTGCGGATAAAATTTTGGACTAATTTTTAAGAAGTCACAGGTTTTTACTTAGGGTGGGGTCACTGGTCTGGAGATTTTTTTTAGGAAGGATTTTTGTTAGGGTGAAGGAAGGGGTTGAGGGTTGAGGGCTGGGAGGAGGGGGGAAGAAGGGTTTGAAAAGGGGTTTTGAGTGGGATTTTATGATTTTTAGGTGTAGAAAGTTAGCTGGTTTTTTAGTTATGGGGAGTTGGGGTGACTAAGATTGTGCTGGGAGTGTTTTTATAATTGATTTCAGTAAGTTGGTGAACCTGTTTAGAAATATCTCAGAAAAATTCATATCAGAAAATTCGTGTGTTGGTGTATTTAGGGTGATTACTTTTCCAGGAATCTTTTACCTATTTGGAGTATGAATAAGATAAAACATGATATATATAACTGTGACAGTATTTTGGCTTTTATAATGACTTATTACAAGGATATGGAATCTAGGAGCTTATCCTAATAACAACTTTCCATTTTGTGCAAACTGCTAGTAGCAGATTTAATTATCTTTAGACCATGCAACACCTAACAGAGAGAAGGCACATAAGTTCTTTCCTTCTTCAGAGATGAGAATTCAGAGTAAGTTTGCTCTCCAAATTTTCTTAACCAGTCCATTGATAGTTTATTAAATAATCTAGATTTGAGCCTGAATCAAGATATGAATATGAGCAAGAATAAATCGAACCCGATATCTTCAAATCTGTCCTCAGGGGATAAAATTGTATCTAGGAATTCTAAACCCCCACTGTCCTCCCAGACAGATAGCAAGAAATCTTTGAAAGTAAAAGATAAGGCGTGTTCTTTCTCTCATCAAAATTTCAAAATTCGCAAGTAAGTTATTAATATTTTTCGAATAAATTCATAATCCATTGTGGATGTCATTCTTTATAAACTCGGGCTATCTTCACCATAAATTGTAAAGATGATCTTTGAGAACTCATCAGCTCACTTTACCAATCATATAAGCCTAGTTATAAAGGCCTGTAGTGTAATAGGAATGAACTAACCTTCCTGGCAATATTTACCTATCCAAAATCTCGAGAATCTCTAACTATGGCTTACTGGAACAATACCTCTGTTCATCCGTATTTTAGGCTTATTTTGGAATGAAGAGGATGCTTATTTTTCTATAGTGACACAAATTGTAATTCGCTGATCCAGTCCCTACTAAGGAGGTCAGCTCAGTTTAGGAAGAATGTTCCATCAAAGTTCAAACTTCCAAAACTCAGTCAAAATTCAATGTAGTTATAACTTTTCAATACTACTCTGGCTATTGGGGTTTTGGGGTTTTGGGGTTTTGGGGTTTTGGGG